GTCGCCGGATTCGCTGTGTGCGGATGGCGGGGCACCAGTTTCGGTATCCAATAACTGGGTACAGATTTTGGGCCTTCCAATCCACCTTCGAAGTCCTGAGTTGTTTCGCGAGATTGGCAACAGATGTGTTGGTTTTGTGGCGATCAATGAGTCGGTGGAGATGCTGGGGTGTGTTCGGTTGAAGATGTGTGGCCAGGCCAGTGGATATCCGTCGCAGATTTCAATCCGATGGGGTTCACGGCGTTATACGCTGCCTATCTGGTCGAAAACTGGGCCAGTGGTGGTTGCTGCGCCGGCGTTAGGTGGTTCTACGGTTACGTTAGTCACCTAAATTTGATTTTTTTTTTCGCTACTAAACTTCTATTCGCCGAAAGTTTGATTTGCTTTTGCCTACTAAGTCTTTAGTCGCCAAAAATGTTTTGTTGTTCAGGTTATTTTTGTTTAGCTACTAAATAATTTAGTTACCTAATGTTTGATTTTTTTGGGCTACTAAACTTTTAGTAGCCTAAAGTCTAACTTGTTTTTGCCTACTAAACCTTTAGTCACCAAAATATGTTTGCTGTTTGTTTGCAATTTTGTAGCTACTAAACATTTTAGTCGCCTAAAGTGTGATTTGTTTTTTGGCTAACTTTTAGTCGCCAATTTTTTTTTTCCTTTTGACCTACAAATTGTTTAGTTGCCAAAAACATAGTTTTATGTTTTTTCTCCAAATTCTAATTTATTTACAACCTGTATGTATTTCGTGCAACCTGTACTATGTATATGAACAAAACAATACATCTATTATCAATCATTCCAAAATAGATTTCCAACCATTTCACTTCCAACCATCCAAAATTGTATAACTGTAAATGTAAAATTCCATACAAACCATAGTCCAACTTGTACTATCTAGTCCAAACTTTTTTAATAATTCCATACAAATCATAACAATTAAGTTATCTATGCCCCAAAAATAAATGTACTACCATGCGAAATGGCCATTTGCCGTGGTGCAAATTAACATTGGAATCTGTACCATAACAAAAGGAATTCTATATACCACGCCAATAATTATAAAGTCGAGGGCAAAAAATATCTATACGAGTAATAGTAATCCACACAAAAGCAGAGGACGACAAAATTATCAGGAGTATGCAAAGGTCGAAATTGTCCTCCATACACAAAAAAAGGAGTATCCACAAGTCCACGCCAAAAAAATAAATAAATAAAAATAAAATAAAATTGCACACATTAGTATTCAGAAATGCATGCTTCAATGTACCTAGTTATTCATGTTTTTCAAAACTAATAGCAAAAACTAAATACATGAAGTGGTGGACAAGTATTTCTTGTTCTATTCAAGAAGTCTTTGATAAGCAATAAGAGGTTGAGCTTTTTTGTTATGTAAAAACTAAATACAGGACTTCATAAACAAGTCTTCATGAAAATTGATCCTATTTAGCTTTTGGTAGTGTCTTAAGTTTTCAAACAACATGATTCTGACTTTAAGATTTTGGTAGTTTGGAAGAGTTGAGGAATTGGGAGTATTAGAAAAGTCATCATTCTTGAGAAATGTATATATACTCCGCCTCTGTTTCTCTTCTCTCAACAAGCATACCTCTTATTCATGTAATTTAAGGGAAGATGGCATGGTTAATATTGTCCAACCAGTTCCTTGCCTTCTTCTCCTTTCTCTTATGTTGTAAGTTTATTTGTTCTTCCTTATCTCTTCTTGCGCACATCATTTGTGCTCCATTGACGAAAGCTTTGCATTGGTTCGGGGGCTTATCTAAAAATAATAAATAAATAAATAACTTGCTTAAATAATAAAATAAGTAAATAAATAACAAATCTGTAACATCCATACATTGGTTCAAGGGCTGTTTTGCATTTTCACCGCCCGAAAGCCCTTTTTGAACTAAGTTTAAGGCGTTTTTGGTTCTAACTCTCAAACTACGCGTGCGAATTACATGCCATCTGTGGTCACAGATCCTATTTGTCATGAGGATGCTGCCCTTAACATCCATACATTGGTTCGGGGGCTGTTTTGCATTTTTGCCCCCCTGAAAGCCCTTTTTTGACTAAGTTGAAGGCGTTTTTGGCTCTAACTCTCAAACTACGCATGCGAATTACATGACGTCTATGGCTACAGGTCCTATTTGTTACAAGGATGCTGTGTGTGACAGCCATACATTGGTTCGGGGGCTGTTTTGCATTTTTGCCCCCTAAAAGCCGTTTTTCGACTAAGTTTAAGATATTTTCAGCTCTAACTCTCAAACTATGCATGCAAATTACATGTCGTCTGCAGCCATATGCCAGGAGGATGCAGTTCGTAACATTCATACATTGGTTCGGGGGCTGTTTTGCATTTTCGGACCTTTTTCGCCTAAGTTCAAGGCGTTTTCTGCTCTAACTCTCAAACTACGCACTCGAATGGCATGTTGTCTGTGGCCACAGGTTGTATTTGTCACGAGGATGCTGCCCCTGACACCTACACATTGGTGCGGGGGCTGTTTTGCATTTTCGCCCCCCGAAAGCCCTTTTTCGACTAAGTTTAAGGTGTTTTCGACTATAACTCCCAACCTACGTGTGCAAACTACATGCCCTCTGTCTCCACAGATCCTATTTGTCACGAGAAAGCTGTTTGTGACGTTCATAGAGTGGTTCGGGGGCTGTTTTGCATTTTCACCCTCTAAACGCCCTTTTTCGACTAAGTTTAAGACGTTTTTGACTCTAACTCCCAACCTACGCGTGCTAACTACATGTCGTCTATCCTCACAGGTCATATTTTTCACGAGAAAGCTTCTCATGACATCCATTGTGTGGTTCAGAGACTGTTTTGAATTCCCCCCCCGCCCCCGCGCCCGCGCAAACACCCTTCATTTGTCCTATATCTAATTAGTATTAAAATGATCAATTAATATAAGATCTCTAACTATATGCAATCCAGTAAAATCTTTCCCAAAACCTAGTGCCTTCTTTCCCCTTTCTTAAAAGTCAACAAGAAAGTTATAGCTAAAGGACAAGCTAATGGTGTTACCCTCACCTATTAGCTTGAGAGGGGATGATAAGAGTATCAATCATTAGTAGTCTTAGTAGTGGAGTTAGTTGCTTCAACATACACAACATCATCAACAATTGTGCCAGAGGGTAGTGAGAAAGAACAAATACACATTGTACACTTTTTTTTTTCTTCTCAAATTTCAAAACAAAAATGTACACTTTTTTTTCTTTTATCAAATTTCAAAACAAGGCGAGGAAGAAAAAATGTTTGGACCTAAAATGATTGCACTTTGCAACTGTACAGTGATTCCATGAAAATTTGTAATGCAAACTTTGGATGCCAAGTCAAAATCTACTCAATTCTTTCCAAGCTATAGCTTAATAAATATAGGCTACTCTCAGAGATAGTATGTTACAATATCTTAACACCACAATTCTGCACAATGAATTCATGAAGCATGTAATTCAGTAGCATCAAATTTCTAACCTAAAAAATTGCTAGAAAACTTGGTGAAGTTGTTTGGGTCTAATTTAACATGATTTTCTCTTCCACTACAACCAAAATAACAAGCATTGGCTATGGGAAAACAGATAACCACACAGAGACATACACGCCAAAATAAGGCAAGCAGTAAAAGCAACCTTGAAGAGATCTATCCCTCTTCAACTACTCCTGTCAACATTACCTAGGAGAGTGACAAAGATAATAGATTCATACTAATGCTAATTAGTAAATGATTAACAAGAGAACAACCCCATTAAATTATTCTTGGAAATAGAAACATTATGCATGGGATTTGTGGATGTGGGGGTGGGGAAGAAACGGCCACGTATCTTATGTTTCCATGGTTAGTGAGCGGTGAGCTGGAAGCGCCATTTATTTCATACACATAGCTTAAATTTGTACATTTCACTATTTGGTGGTTCTTTCCTTTGTCGAAGTAAAATAAAAAAAATTTAAAAATCAATAGTTTTCTTTTGAGGAGTTCTTCCATTTAATTTCTATAAAACTTATGTTGGTATAAAAAATTTCTAATTAGTCAACACTTAATTCAAGTTCGGTAATATTTATCAATCAGCCCTGTTATATACCAAAGGAGATTTGCATGCATCAAATTATATAGGAATATCAGTTGCACAAATGCAAGGTGGAAAATTTCAAAACCTTTGGCATTAAACCAAAGCAAAGCCAGATTTTACTCCAACAATAAAGGCAAGGCCAATACATCATACAAAACCGAAAGATGAATGATGTGTGTGCTCATGCCAATGACATGATTCATAACAAAAATTTTCTAATCCATTTTGTAATCTTTTTATATGGTTGTAGAAGAAGACACACATTATCCATAACAATATATATGTTAAACATCTTGTATATGGACTATAATTATCAATAGTTGGAAATTGTTATCAGAGCACAATAAAGGACTACCGGGAATTCAGTTTCATGAAAATAATAGAAAGAGTAAGCGAAACCGGATTTTACTCCAACAATAAAGGTAAGTACAACACTACATACATGTTCCAAACATAAATGATGCATGTGCTCATGCCAAAGACATTATTCATAAGGAAAATTTCCTAATCCATTTTGTAATCATTTTTATTTTGTTCTAGAAGAAGACACACGGACAATTTTGTTTGTATGTAAAGCCTGTGCATGTGCCTACAAGTTTACAAATCTTCTTTGATTTTGGAATCTGATGTTGGAATCCCAACACCTTACAGGAACCCCAAAAACTAATCCAAGCAATTTTTAGAAAAAAAAAAATTAACACAGTTATCTATAATGACTATCACAAAGGTTTACAAGGACTCAAACTAAAATGTAGGATACGGATGCGGCTGCTTAGGAAGCCATGTGTTTACTGCAGTATGAAATCAATTAAAGAGAAAAAGCAATAGAATAAACAAACAGAAAGAGGAAAAATAAGTGATACAAAATACCAGAAGGAAAAAAAACAAAAAAACAAACAAACAATAGAAAAAGGAAATCAAGTGATACAACATACCAGAACATGTTTGGCTCAATATAGAACGAACTTCTGGCTCAAACCCCATGTCAAGCATCCGATCAGCTTCATCTAGAACCCGCCAAAAAGAAAGGAGTTGGAGACACTAGTGTAGGGAGCTAGAATGCTCTAGTAAAATCAATTTCATCAAATTTCCCATATCCATGCTTGACACAGGTAAATCACTAATAGCTACAACTTGAATAAAAGATTAAAGGGCTTTCAGGCTTTCTGCTGTCATTTTTTTCTAGAAACTGAATTCACCAATACAGCAATCAGATAAGACTAAAATGTTCTTAAATACATAAGGCATCTAAATAAATTTAGTGAGCTAGTTTATGACCCATGAAAAGACTCCCAATTGGAGTTACAAATAGGGGGATGATATTCACTCCCCTTGTGAGAGGCAATATGGCCAAAGAAAAAAGTGAGAGACTAAAAGGGGATTCGGCGTATCGTTTCGTACAAATATGGAAACTCTCAAAAGTTAAAAGAGAAACAAGAAACTTCAAGCAAAGACTCCCAATGTTATAAACACATTCTAATTGGTCCCAACAAAATAAGAACCAAGAATTTGAACAACCTAGTCTTTTTTTCACCTCAACACTAAAAAACCTGATCTTTATAGTAGTCTACCCAATATAATTGAAAACGAATTCCTCCTTATTCTTGTCAAAATTTCCATTTGGTTGGTATGCTTCTCTAAGCATAAAGGGCACAAGTGTACACTTTGGTACTAATCCATTCACATAAAGGGCACAAGTGTACAATTTGGTACTAAATTCCAATACAAACCAAAAGTTGTTCAATTAAAGTCCAACAAATTAACAAACACAAGTGTTTATGATTTTGAACATAACTAAGGTTCCTATCATTAAGATTGACAAATATATAGGACATAAAAATAACAATACACAACACCCAATTAGTACACATTAATGTGTGAGGGATGTCGTTTTAGCAACAAGATTTAAAAGGGCCTTTTAATACGGTTAAGAAACATGATCAACAAAGATCAACAATATTGGAACTTAGAAGACAAAAAAAATTGGTTTAAAGGGTTGGATTAAGATCTAGGGCTTTCCATTGTAAGAGAAAAAAGAAAAAGAAAAAGCATAGATTGGCTTTGATCTCCCACTAATGTTTGTATCACTTTCCATCAAAACAAAAACATTTCAGCTATTTCAATGGGAATGAAACAAACATTTTATTCCTTGCTCACCACATATTCAATTGCAGATTTGTACCCAAAAAAACATTGAAAAATCTACAGAGCACATGATAACAAGATATTTCAGTTCAAAGGGGACTCGTCGGAAGTAAATTTGCTGTCGCAGATTAAAAAAATGACATTTTTCCATCAATTTAAAAACAAAACCAAAAAAAATTGACATTAAAAAACTGATGTTAGAGAAATTGCAATTGGAAAAGAGGTTATGTGCAAGTCAAAGCTTATAAAAGCAAAAATCTAATATAAAATGCTCTTTCCAAATTGGTACCATTATCTAGAATCTTCTAGACATCAACCTCTGTGCTGTCATTATCTTTGGTTACTTCCCACCCAAATAGACTATAGAAGTGCCAAGAAAGAGTTTTGGAAGGCTACTCTAGCAGGCTTAAAGAGTGCTAGAGCAGCAAGGTGTTATCTATGACCAAAAGATTGGTGATAGTCTGCCAGAGCACTCAGTTTAGCATTCTCTAGCACTCTAGCATAAAGGAACGTCCATGTAAAGAGTGCTTTAGTGGCTGTAACTAATAGACAAGCAACTCAACGATACCATAAATATTTTGATATCCAACTTCTCTCTACGCCTACGACATATTAAACTCAATCTTTCTTGGACAATTATACATCCAACCATGTTCAAATGATGAAGATATTATAGTAACTTAAACAGCCATATATATTTTGAAAATGAAGGGTACTCAAACACAGAAGCAACTTCACTCTTAACAGGTATCAAACAATAGTATGTTGCAACAAATAAGTAAGGATATATATCAAGTAGAATGTAATTTACGTAAACATCTAGTCAAAATGAGAATGTAATTTCTTTTTCTTTTTCTTTTCCTTTTTTTTGTGTGGCAAAAATTCAAAATGAAAATAAAATTAGAGAGCAAAATTGAAGTAGTCTTACAACACCAGACTCCAAAGAAAATACCTGGGGTCCTTTAGAAGTTCCTCCATATAAACAAACTGACTGCAAGCCACAAGGTTTTCCAGCATTACAAAGAACGACTGAAATCTGCCACTAGCACAAAATGTCAGTGTTTAGCCAATTCTTCAACAAATAAATACCACTAAATCAAGTGAGCATTTTGCATGTAAGGTAGAGCTATGGATAACGAATATATATACACAAAAATAAAACAATGTCACTGCCACATTGATCCATTTTGTTCTTGATTTCTGTCTCTAGCTAATTTTCTTTTGTAGTTAAAATTCTTCCAACTGCAACTTCCTCCATCAGTTCAGTGTTATAAAAGAAACTGATTCAGTCACTACATCCATCCCATGAACTTCACAGAACCATACAATATCTTAAAAAAAATAAAAGAATAAGAATTGTACAATAAGTACATAAAGGGTAAAAAAAA